GGGAGGGGGGCCATTCACCGCACCAAGGCAGGGGGCCCATGCAGGAGGGCAGGGGGCCGAGGGGGGCCGAACGGCCGATGCCTCGTGGAGGGGCGCCCCCAGTCGCCGCCGCCCCCCCCCCCCCCCCGTGCTCCTCATCGCAAGGACCTCCTGGCGTCCGCCCTGGCACCCGATGAGGCGCCTGCCGGGGGGAGGGGGCACCTTCCCAATGACTCGCACCGTCTGCCAGATGATGAGCCCCAGGCCGGTCGCAAACAAAGGTCGGGCATGTGTCAGGGAGTTCTGGTTGGCTGTCGCCGATGAAGGCGCCCCCGGGAACACGCGTCCACGCGTTCCCTCTCGTGGGCGCCCAACGCCACAGACTACACACACGCATACCAACCACGACTTCCTCCTCGCCCAGGCGTCGAAGGGTCTCCCGAGGCTGCCGAGACCGCATGCGCAATGGCTCGGCGAACACCAGGCGACGGCAGCCCTCCAATTAGCTTGCCATACACCGTGCAGTCGATAGGGCCCGGGCACGGGGCCGGGCAGGGCAAAGGCGATCGACAAGCCGTCTGAGCGCGTGGGCAGCCAGGGGCCCGGTCAAAAACGAAAGCCCGAAGACAGGGCAGGCCTCGGCTCCCCACGCGCCCGCACAAACATGGGAATCTGGCAGCGCCCGATCGCCGGAGGAGATGTGCATCCGGCCCAGGGGAGGGTGCAAGGCAAGGATGAATATTTATGCGCGGGTGTGTGTGTGTGTGTGTGTGCGTTTGGCCTGTTGACTTGTTCGGGGCAGGTGCGCGACCATTGTGGGGTCAGGCCAGTTGGGGGCTAGCAGGGCCCACTCACTGGCCCTCTCTCCCGGGGCGTCTGCCTGCCAAGGGGCGAGGGTGTCGGTCGGGGGGCGACCGCGGGTTGCGGGGTGTTCGCCCACAATTGCCGACGTGACGCGTGTCCTGGGCGTGATATGATGTGATGGCATGTGATTAGACCGCTATATCCTAAATGCTGCCTCTGAAGTCGGCTCCTCTTTTGCGGGCGCGCGCGCCAGACACACGGGCCTCGCCCGCCACACGGCGGAGAAGGGGGGGAGGGCCGGGGAGGCCCCGGGGCGTCCTGTGGCTTGGGCCCTACCTTTTTTCGACGCCACCTCGCACGGGCGAACCCCCGGGTCGCGTCCCGCACCCACACCCATCGCAGATCCCCGTGCCTTCCTAGATGTATCTCTCCCCTGCCCCCTCCTCTGCTCGCTCCGCCCCGCCTCCCTCTGTCTCGCCCCCTCCCCCCCCCCTCCTCCCCTACTCCTATCGCCACCACTGCCACTGCCGTCTCTATCGCCCTGCCCCGCCCATGCCGCGTTTTCTCGGCGTCTCTGCTGCTCTCAATTATTTGCTCGTCCTCTGGCGGCCTTGCGCGCCTTCTTCTTTCCCCCCCCCCCCCGCCCCGCCCCGAATCTGTCCCTTCGCCAAGCTCACCTTGTGTCCACCTCCGCCCGCTTTTTTCCCCGGCTTGTAGTGCTCCCCTTCTGTCGATTTGTGAGAGACCATGCTTCTCTCCGCCGCCTCGCTGAGCGGGCGTGCCCTGATGGGGCGTGTCCCCGTCACCGCCGCCGCCGCCGCCCTGCGCGTCGCTCCGGCCGCCGTCATCCCCTCTTCTCACAGCCAGCCCCGTCGCTTTGCGGCCACCTCGCCCTTTGCCCCGGTCACCGGGCCCACCCGCCGCACGGTCCCCGAACAGCGCAGTGCGTGCCGCTCCATGCGCCCGCCAACCCGCCCTCATTGTTCCCCCATCACCCTCTTGCCAACTTCCACCCTGACTCCTTCCTCTTCGCCTGCCTTCCTTTTCGCCCCCCCCCCCTCACCTCCGAAGACGGCATCACCCTCGAGCGCTTTGTCACGCATGTTGGTGCCGGTCTTGATCGCTTCCTCCCGAAGATGGAGAGCTGGGAGGCCCTCTTCTCCATGGACAAGATTGGCCTGGATCGCATGGGCATGCGCGTCGACCAGCGTAAGAAGCTCCTCGCCGCCATGAACTGGTACCGGTGCGTGTGTCTCGGCGCAAGTGTGGTCTCCTTTCTTCTTCTTCTTTTCCCCCTTTCCCTTCTCCTCCTCCTCCGGCTGCTGCCGTTTCACATGTGCATGGGTGCCTCGCTCCTGCTGACCGTCCACCTCGTCGCCTGCTTTTCCCTCGCCGCTCCCCCCCCCCTCCCCCACGCCCACCCCCCTCGGGCGAATGTCCAGCCTCGGCTTCGACCCGCAGGAGGGCGTCAACATTAAGCACATTGACAAGAAGAACCGCAAGAAGCGCTCCAAGCTCGAGAACATGTACAAGAAGCGCAAGATCCGTGTCGAGTTCCGCCACCAGGGCAACGAGCGCTACTGATGCGCACGTGCAAGTGCGTGCGCCCCCCTCGGTCCTCGCTCCCGGGGCCGAGGCGGATCTCGGCGCCGCTCCTGCAATGCGCGTCCTCTCACACTGCCCTTGTCCTTTGTTTCCCCCTCGGAACAGCCCCCCGGCCCTGCTGCCGCCTCCCTTTCTCGTTTCCTCAAAAATACACTGCAATAGATCCCCACCCAAAGCGTTGGCAATCGCGCGGCCCGCCCTGACGCCTCCCGTTGGCAGCCGAGAGGTGCTTCCCCCCGTGTCCCGTCGCCCCCTTTTGCGCGCCCGTCGCCCCCGCCCCACCCCCCCTGCACATGGCACACGCACACACGTACACATGGCCCAGATTGACGAATGGCCGCTCCAGCTGGGGATGCATCCTTCCGCCAGCATGCTGTGTTGGTGTCGGAGCGCCGCCTGCAAGTCGATCGCGGTCCCTCCCCTCCTCTGCCCCCCTCATCCCCCCTCCGCGCCTATCTTGCTCGCACACATAGACACATAGACGGATACATACATACACACCTGTGCTCCTCCTTGTCGCCGCCCCGCCTCCTCCCCTCCCCCCCCCTCCCCTCCCCGGACATATACACACACACACACACTGAGAAGCGAACCGTGCTCACTATGCGCCCCGGTATGCAATCTGCCCACGCGCTTCTCTCCCGGAGAGCGCCAGTCCGGGCACTTTCGACAGGCGGCAGAGCCCTTTTCTCGTCAGCCAGTGCCGGCAATCCGGACGATGCCGCGGAGACCTCCCAGCCTGTGGTGTCGGCGCCGGAACCGAAGCCTGCCCTGTCGACACCACCGGAGCGCTGGCGCTTCTCCATGCCGGCCGCCCACCGGCGCATCTCACGCCTGGCCCGGGGGTTCCCCGTGAAAAAGCAGGACGATGATCGGTTTACGCAGTCCATGCGCGGCATACCCCTCAGCAAGAAACTTCCCGGGCACGGCCCCTATGGGGAGACGCTGTCCAAGCACATTCCTGCCTCGTCGCCGGAGATGTGGGGCACCTCTGGGGCGCACCTGGTTCCAGGAGCTGCTGGCACTAGTGCATCGCTTCTGCGTGCGGTTGAGGGGCACTCGCGCACAATCGCCGCCTCCCTCTGCCATCCGGCGGCTCGGATGGATCCATCACCGGCAGGCCCGGCTGCGCGGCGTGTTCGCGAAGGTACACAATTGCCCCCGCGAGTGCACGCACGCACGCACACACACACGCACGCACGCACGCACGCACGCACACTCGCACACACTCGCATACATGCTTAGATTGAGGCATGTCCGGATATCTGCTTACTCAAGCGACCTCAGTCAAAAATGCACTCATGCTGCTGGACACGGCCAAGCGCTCGCACAACCCCCAGACACTCAACTTCGTGCGAAATGTGGCCAGCATTTCGGTGCTGTACGTGCCGGTGCTGGGACTCTTGAAATGACAATCCACTCGGCGGCCCGCCTTTGACACGATCCGACCAACTAACCAACCAACCAACCAACCACCCCCAGCATCAATCCCGCCCTCGGCCCCGGCGTGTCGAACTCGCGGATGCAGCCGTCCGAGGTGCTGAACTTCCAGCGGCGGGAGCTGGGGCACCTGCTGGAACAGACGCTGGCCTCGCTAAATGTGACCGCCTCACCCGGGGCCGCGCTCATGGGCTCCTCCATGCCCGACCTCGAGACCGGGACCCTGATTCAATCGGGCATGAGTCCGGACAATCCGCGCGGCATGGAAGCCGCCCTCGGGCCGGCGCGTTTGGTGTCCATGATGTCTCCCAACCAGCCGTCTGAGTCGGTCCGGGCCCCGAGCGGCGCCGAGCACACTCGCCTCCTCAAGTCCAAGAGGATCACCCAGAACAAGCAGATCTCCGCCCGTCGGCGGTCCAACCTGGCCACCGAGGCTCTGATCGCCTGGACCGACGGGTGGGACTTGCGGCAGGCCGACCAGTCGGCAGACCCGAAGGAGCGCCGGAAGGCGTCTCACGAGCGCAGCTCCCGCCAGCGGCTCTTCGACGAGACGTACTCTCTCGAGCGGCCGAACTTCGTCACCAGCCAGCTGGCGAGTGAGACCACGGAGGCCACCCCGACGGCTCTGATCGCGCCGATCCCGCAGCTGGATGACTAGCAAGGGGAAATGCCTCACGTGCGTGTGCCTGTGTGTGTGTGTGTGTGCATGTGGGTCACTCTCCTCCGAAATGCTCGGGACCCGGATGCGGCCTTCCCTTGGTGGAATGCGACCTCAAATACGATGGCATGCTCTCCTTCTCTTGGCTGTGCGGTATTTTATTGTGCAGGGGGGGGGG